ACTATAATCCTTGTTGATGCTAAGTGTTTGTAGCTTTTAGACTTCTTTTCTTCAATAGGTTATGGGCCCACTCACATTTGCTTGAGTAATTTTTGAAGTTCTTTGAAGTGGTTTTGTAAGTGTGGAGTAGATCAAATTGTTGTTGCTGATGTTAGGCTTTGGAAGAACCTAACTTTCAGATTCAAATCTAAATCTAGATCATGGTTTTCTCTTACTTGTGGTTAAGAGCATTTTAGTGTTAGTGTCTTCTTATTCACCTATAGACAAAGTTTGCAATATGCTTTTACTAAGATAGATCCTTGGTAATCTAATTTTATTTTTCATGTCCTAAAGTTGTTGATTGTGCTTAAAAGGCCTCTTATGTCGTATAGAGGTGATTTGTGAGCATAAGAAAGATATTAGAGTGGCAAATCAGATTTAAGACACTTAAATAAGTCATTAGACTTGTAACAAGTTTTGGAAGTGAAGTTGAGAGAGTTTTTGACAGTTAAAATACTAGTTTGTTCACATAGAAGGATTCGGGGATTCTAAGGCAACAAAACCTTCTTGCTCATTTTTTAGATCATTAGGACTTCTTCCTACAATTTTTTTTGATACAATTCTTCCTTAGAGATGGCTTCAAGTGAGGGTGAAGGATTGAGAGTTATTGAGAAGTTTAGAAGTGACAATTTCTACCATTGGAAGGTAAAAATGGAGCTTTTGTTGGCATCTTTGGATCTTTGGGATATTGTAGATGAAAGTGAAGAGGCTCAAAGCAAAGCTGCTAATATGAAGGAGAAGAAGAAGTTCAAACGTTGTGAAAAGAAGGCTTTTGGATTGATTGCAACTAATGTGGATGAAGCCAATTTTTCCCACATTATCTCTTATAAAAGACTAGTGGAAGCATGGAAGACTCTTTGCAACATTTATGAGAGCAAAAACTTATCCAACATCATCTATACAAGGAGGAAGTTCTTTACTTGCAAGATGGAAGAAGGTGAAGACCTCATGGCTCATGTTAATAAGATAAAGGCTCTTGCAAACCAACTAGCAATTGTTGACAAGCCTTTAGAAGAAAGTGATATTGTCATGACCTTACTAATGAGCCTCCCCGAATCCTACAACTACCTTATTGTGGCATTGAAATCCATCAAGCTAAAAGAGCTTACAATGGACTATGTAATGGCAAGATTTGCTCATGAAGTAACCAAGAAGAAAGAAAAGGAGCCTCAAAGTGAAGATTCAGCACTCTACTCACGTCAAGGCAAGGGCAACTATTCAAATCAACGAGGTAATGTCAAATCTTGCTTCATTTGCGGCAAAGTAGGCCATTTTGCTCGAAATTGCTACAAAGGCAAAAAGATGAAGAAGGAGAATGCTAATAGTGTACAAGATGAGTTTGAAGGACAAGATTATGCATTCACGACAACAAATGGGACCTCTATGGCTGCCATGTCAAGATGGATTGTGGATTCAGGTTGTTCCAAGCATATGACATCTTATAAGTATTCATTTGACACTTATGAGGCTATTCTAACATCAAACGTGGTGTTGGCAGATAGTGGTACATATAAAGCCATTGGAATTGGCTCTATTATGGTGGAGGTGGTTGTGAATGGACAAACCAATAGGATCAAACTCAAAAACGTCCTTCATGTGCCTAACATGAAGCAAAACCTACTTTCGATGAGTAAACTTGTAATGGAAGGTTTTAAAGTTCAATTTGACAAGAATGGATGTTTTGTAAGAACATTGAGTGGAGACAAGGTCTTCAAAGGCTTAAAAGAAAGAAATTTGTACTACCTCATTTATAAGAAGGTGAATGGAGTGGAAGTAGCCGCATTTTCTGAGTTTACATCAAACTAAGATAAGTTGAATATATGGCATCGTCGCCTTGGCCATTTGAATGTGAAGAGCATGAGAGAGCTCAAGACCATGGTAAGTGGCTTAGATCTTGGCAATACAAGCCATAATGCAAAACAACTTGCATGTGAAGGATGCATACAAAGCAAACAACAAAAGGCTTCATTTCCAAAGAGTGTAGCAACACGTGCTACCAAGTTGCTAGAGATTGTCCATTCTGATGTATGTGGACCTATGAAGAATACAAGTATTGGAGGATCAAGGTATTTTCTCACTTTCACTGATGATTATTCAAGAAAGATTTGGATCTACATTCTTAAAGCTAAGAGTGAATGCTTTTGGAGATTTAAGGAGTTTAAAGCACTTGTTGAGAACCAAAGTGAATGCAAGATCAAGGAGCTATGTACGGACAATGGAGGTGAGTACATGTCTAAGCAATTTGAGGTTTATTTGAAGAATGAAAGAATTGCTAGACAAACCACAACTCCATACACTCCACAACAAAATGGTGTTGCTCAAAGGGCAAATCGAACCATTGTAGAGATGGCAAGGAGCATGCTTCATGCTCAAAACCTTGGCTATGAATTTTGGACGGAAGTTGTGGTGAATGCAGTGTATACAAGAAATAGGTGTCCAATAAGTACACTTGCATCAATGACATCACAAGAAGCTTGGAATGAGAGACAACCTTGCATTTTCCACATGAGGACCTTTGGTTGCATTACATATGTAAAAACACCAGATTTTATGAGGTCTAAACTTGATGCAAAAGGTACAAAGTGTGTGTTTCTTGGTTATTGTGAAGGTACTAAGGCATATAGGCTAATGTGCTTGGAAACCAAGAAGATCATAAAAAGTTGTGATGTTGAGTTTTTGAAGCACAAGTGTGCTTGTGAGTACTTGGAGATGTGTCCAAGTGGGAGTAATGGTGTATTTGTGGATACATCTTTGAGTTCAGCAAAGAAACAAGAAGATGAAGATAATGAAGATGATGAAGATGAAAAGCCAAAGAAGGTTGAAAAGATGAAGGCTCTTACAATTGCTAGGACCAGCAATGAAAGAAATGAAGATGTTGAAGATTGGGATGATGATAATGATGAAGAGTACCAACCATTGAGTAAAAAACGACAAGGTTTAAGAGTTGGAAAAGAACAAGGAGTGCAAGAAGGCGAATGTTCTTCTACAGGTGAAAGGAGATATCCTTTGAGAGAAAGAAGGCAACGTGGTGAATGGTTGAAGGATCACATCCTTCTTCAAAGTAAAGAACATGCAAATGTTGCTCTTCTTGTTGATCCATTATCTTTGTATAATGATATGAAGTGTGAAGATGCAATCAAGTGGGAGAAGGTTATGGAAGAAGAGTACTAATCTTTTATAGACAATGGTATATGGGAATTGCCAAGAATCTAAAACATCACTCAAGGACCAAGTACATTGATGTTCAACATCATTTCATACGAGAGAAGATTGAAGATGGTTAATAGGTATGAAGTATTGTGCTACAAATGACATGCTTGCTGATGTGCTTACAAAGGCATTAGTGAAGGATAGACATCATGACTTGATTAAGAGATTAGGACTAAAAGCCTTTTGACTATTAGAAAAGTGAGAGTATTGAAGATCAGCAAATACTTGCTTAGTTACAACCACATAGAAATTAATTATAATATGTTACTAATAGTAAAAAAGTAGCAAAGAGTTAAAGTAAGTTATTGTGGTGGCATCAAGGATTTAGTTGGATGAGGTAGAAATGGATGTAATATCAAAAGAATGGAAGTTGCCTCATTGGTGAAGAAACCACAACCTATAAGTAAAAAGTGTTGAAAGTAAGAATTATCTTTCTCCACACTTCTATTAGACTATAATCCTTGCTGATGCTAAATGTTTGTAACTTTTAGACTTCTTTTCTTCAATATGAGCACCATCTCTTCGAAACATTCATGAACCGATTTTGAAGAAAGCTTGTAACGTCCTTAAGACACACAACTGATCTAAGTAATAAAAGAAAACAACTACTGATAACCTCGCAACACACTTCTTGAATGCATTTCTACGGTTGTTAAGAAAAGACGACAAAAACCTCAACAATGATAGACATGAATGGTGACAAAAAAAGCCCAATTTTAAAGAGCCGATTACAAAACCCATAACTTCAAAGAGGCACTACAGCAATGATGAAAACTTTCCTACCACATTAACTGCAAAGAATAATCTTTACTGGGAGCACCACAAACTTTAGACTCCATGAGTTAGGATCCCCAACATTTTTCATATATGGAACACATCTAGATGTAATAATATCTCCAACTGCACTAAAAACTTCTTCTTTAAGGTCCAAACCGTTCCCTATTATTAGAGAGGTATACATTACAAGTCCAAATACTTCTCCACTCATGTAGATGTGTTACACATATTTCTGGTGTAAATCCCTAAAATTGAATATTACACTACAATAAGCACTATTTTGACTAAATTAAGAAGATTGATCCTTACAAATTTGATTACAATAATAAACTCGATGGTACTTATGAGATAACAAAGAGAAAATGAAGAAAACGACGAAGGCTACCTATTTGGTTACTCAATTTCAAATCGGCCAGTTCACTAACGGATCCAATAGCAAGGTTATACGCATACATTGTTAATAAGTATAGCTGCTAATGATTCTGTGAGAAATCCGTTGCATCGCTTCACCAGTTAACAAGAAATTTGATAAGACCCACACCTCAGTACATAGTAATAGAATCTCTTCAATTTGATTACACAGACTAATGCTTATTTTAGGAAATTGCAGCTAGCTATATCTCATTTCGAGCTTCTGCACTAGCTCAACGCAAACCCAACCGATTCCACCAATTTCAAGCTAACTTACTACTATGCCACAAGCTTCCTAAGCAATGTTCTCTACATTGAAGGTGTCCACCAATCGACAATCTCCAGACATAAATTTACAAATCGAGGTTTATGTGACAGACTGACAGCGCGAACTAATGACGACATGAATTATTTCCATCAACTAGCACGAACAAGGCAGCCACTGTGACAGACGAAGCAGACGTAAGTTACTTTGCAAACATAAAACTTGATGGTTGTTCTCTGACCGATCCAAACGTTTATCTTTGCAACCAACAACTTAACCAACGACCACCAGCACAAAATACACATAAGAAAATGGTAGACATTTAAAGAACTAGTAACATCAACCTGAATCAAAATGCGACCTCTGTAAAATTTCATACCACACCTATGAAGCATTTAATCTAACGGGAATGCTGGACTCAGGGTGACGGTACAATTTGTACATCAATGCCTACCAGAATTGTAGGCTAAACTACAGTTCTGCAGGTAAAGCTCCCAATGTACACGACGCTACAACAGTATTTTTCGAAAATGTACAGTGACCATACAGCCCTCGGAAGGGCACGATTCATTCTATCGTTCTACATATCGGAGCGTGGCTGGTGAATGCGGTGGTAGGTGTTTGCCTTTCTAGGTGGACCACCCCGGTAAGACATAGCCTTATTCTGATACTGATTAAAGTTCTTGGACCACGGTACCTGCGGCTGAGGCTTGAGAGACTTGACGTCCTTGCAGCTATTCGTAGCTGTGAGGCTAAGATCCTCATCCGAATAGAAATCTGCAGAGCCCCCAAGATATTAGCTAAACAACGAAACAAAACTCAAAGTAAATGAACTTGGGAAAAGTATAGAATAAAATTGTCTCATTAGCCAAGAAAATGGACCAGTGACAAAAAACTGGTGTGAACGCAACCTGAATTGACGAACTTCAGAAATTCCCAACTACAAAAGAACTACTCTCAACTCCAACCGGAAACGCAGTTGAGTACATAGAATTCACTATGCAAACTAGACCTCTTACAAAGCCTCCAATCAGATGCTTAAAGAGATGCACCAATATCATAAGCTGGGGGAGACTAGCTCAGTAGACCACGCCCGTGCACCCCTAAAAATCAAAGAGACTACAAAGGAAGTTGAATGGAGACTGAGGAAGCCAAGAACTTACCGATATGCGCCAAGTTGCGAGCCAACTCTTCCTCCTCTTCCCGGAGTACAAGCTCCTCTTGATAACTGAAAAAATCATCGGAGTCTGCGCTTACATCTAACTCCTCGGAAAGGAAAGTCCTCTCGTGTTCACTTGAACACATTGAGAAATACTGCTGCCGGAAAGCAAGATCGGTCTCCATGAAGTGCCACCACTCAAGCGAGTATGGCTCCGTTACGACGTGATCAACAGTCGGAGGGAGGATAACAACATCAGCAGGCGTCGTCTTACTCAACTCCGCTCGGACACGAAGAGCCGCAGGGATAAACTCACTCGCATTCGGGTTCAGAGTTGACATTAAAGGAGGCGGCGTCGTTTCCATACCCATGGCTACAAATCATCCAGCACGAACAGCAATCCACTCACCGAACACACACACACAATCCTACAGCCTTCCTCACAAGCGACAAACGCATCACCCGCCAACCTCGAACGCCCCCTGTTCCGCACACTTCTCCTTAAGCACGCCTGCTTTGGCTCTTCAAAGCACCGCCAAGAATTAAAAAACAAAACACCTCTCCCCTTAAAAAAATCCACCAGCTCCGCACGCTAATCGAGGCGTAACACAGCCGAATTCAGCGCAGGTGGTGGCTAAAACACGAAATCGCAGAGCCAGAAACGCGCATCAAACTCGCCACACAAACCTTCTCTGGAGATGCCTTCAAAGTATGCCCGCGTACACCATGGCCTGCGCGGTCTCGAGGGCTCTTTAAGATGCCCGCCCCGAGGTGAAGAAGACAAAGCCTCGGCCAAGGAAGGATGCTCGATCCGACGTGGCTGATCTTTTACTTTTTACCCTCCGGTCTCAACTTTGACTGGATTGATCTGATCGCTTCTGACGTGCCATCGGACCATGGTAAATTCCCCTTGACGGTGGTCAGGGTGTATATACTTTTGTATACGGTCGCCATGTGCCGTGGGATAGGGAGCGGAAGGAGCGGTGGAGATGTTAGCCGTCCAAGGTCTCTCGGATCGACGAATGGAAGAATGGATGGATGAAGTACGTGTGGATGGATGTCGTTGTTGCTAATACCAATGCGTGCATTATAAGTTGGGTCTCATATATTCCAAATATGGAATTCCATGAGGCCCCAATTGTGGCATTTTATTTATCCAATCTCCCGCCTCCTCTTGACTAGTGTGGGCTCTTTTGCCCTCTTGGGACTCCATCTTCCTTTCACTTTTTATGATACCATTGTGTAATTTCTGACTAAATGGAAAGTTTCACTTGTTTTAAAAAAGTAGGGTGCAAAAAATTAAAGAGCCCAACGTCCATAAATAACTTTTGTAACGTTGTGGTTCAGTTTTTGTTCTGCGCAACTAACATTTACATTTTCCTACTTTTTTATTTTATTTTATTTTATTTTAAATATATGTTTGTTGGCCTTTTATCGGGTCCTCTTATTCCCAACAATGGATAAACAAAACATGTCAATTTATGTGTCTGTGAGAATATCTGAATTTCAATATAATATGGCACTTGTAAAATAAATAAATAATGATAAAAATAAATCTTTGAGAGTATAAATATTTCAACCTGTTAAGACTTTAAAATATAAATAAAAAATTTGGTATCTCAACACTTGTGCAACTTCATAGAAGATATTTAACAGGACATGCCTTCTAAAACACAATGCAATATATATATATATACATAGAGAGAGAGAGAGTCACACACATAAAATTCAAATATGAATAATTCAATAAATAGAAAAAAAAAAAATCATATTAAAAAAACACACATCTGAGTATAATAACATATCACAGTTAAAACGAGATGATTGGTATTTTGGACCAACTTCGACACATTAACAACAATAAATGATTTTTTTACAAAAAGGTTAAAAAAAAGAGAAGAAGAGGTTGCAGCAATCAATTATTCGTTCCAGTATAGAAGAAGGTTTATAAGTTATAATATTTGTTGGCTATTTTATGGATATTTGAAAAATTACTTGATGCCATATAAACCCTACTTCAATCACATTATAATTAATTTGAAGGTTAAGAAAATAAAAGTGATTTGTGCAGTAATTGAACAAATTATATACCCATTGTGTATATATATATATATATATATATATATATACACTTTTTTATTTCTATAAAATCATAGTATTTTTTATAAATATATAAAATTATGCATCAAATGCAAGTACAAACTTTCTAAAAAAATCAACAGTTTAAAATCATTTAAAACTATAAAAGATCATCTTAATATAATTAAAACACTATTAATAATAAAAATTTAGGTTGTGTTTTTTTAATTTATAGATTAAAAACACTAGTACTACAATTGATTTTTTTGATATACTACATGAATATAATATGTATGTATGTATGTAATTTTATTTTAAAATACAGATCTCAAATTGTAAACAAAAAATAAACTATATAAATATGTACTTATATATATATATATAGAGAGAGAGAGAGAGAGAGAGAGAGAGAGAATCCTCATCAAATTTATTTAAACTGCATACTCTAGAATACCATACAAAGATAAATAAATTTGACGAGGATTCGTTTAAGAATACCATACAAAGATTTTACCATTTTTAAGTCTAAATATCAAATAATCATTTACATCCTAATCTTACCAAAGTACGATGTCACTTTCAATAAACCTTTTTAAATTAAATTTCTATTTACTATGTGAACTTTTAAACATAAACAAATCATTATTCTTGCTGTTTTTTGAAATTATTTGGAGAAAACTTGAATATGTATTGTAAACTTTTTGAATAGTATCATTATAAAAAATTGGGTATTATACCACAGTATCACTTTAAAAATTAAACGAGATTCTTTTAGCCGTATCTTTGTATCTGGCTAAGAAATTATCTTGAATAAACAATACATGCCCCAGGCATTAACAGCCAAGAGTTATAACTTGGTCCAGATAATTTTTTAAAGTTTAAAATTTTCAAAGAAAATATTTTATGTAAGAAAATACTTCAATGTTGCATAGTAAAGCAGAATTATACCACTAAGTAAATTTAAAACTCTTTTTATGTATTCAATAGTACTAGAATAGCATCAAAGGATCATTTTATCTTTTTGGAAAACCACCAAGTAAATAGAAATAAGAACAAAGAAAAAAAAAAAAAAAAATCAAATTACTTCTAATTGGACATTAAAAGTTTTTTTTTTTTTTTTTTTTTTTTTTTCATTATAGTTACTAAAGTCATAATAAACAATTCTTTTTTGGTATGACTACTTGCTATTGTTGAAACAACCTTTAATTGTGTGTTTGGCTACAATTTCTTTACTACAAGTTTAACTTGGATTTACAGACATTCTTAGTTTTAATAACAATGACAGTATTATTGTTCTTATTTTTCTAAAATCACACAAATAAGCTCAAATAATATAACACTGATTTTTCATCCAATGATTTTTTTACTGAATATTTTAAAATAGTAATTCAACATCCTAATAACAGTTCTTAATAATTAATAATTAACAAGTGTTGAAAATTAATTGAAGAGATTACTATTATTTTTTTAATTTCTTAATGTGTGAAGATTAAAAGAATTCGAGGTTTTAGGGTTTAGGGTTTTATATCTATTTTTAGAAATATTAAAACTTAATTGTATTCAGGTATAAGCATGCACCATGTTGGGTTGAGTAATTGAGATAGTTTTTTTTTATTTCCTTCTCTTCTATCTTATCCACTATCCAACACAATACAGTATTCATCCATCCATCCTAAATCCTCCTTAAAAATCATAATTCTATCTTAATATTCAATCACCCCACTACATGGAATAAACACATCCATTATCCATTTAAAAAAGATGGTTACAGTGTGAACGGGGACACAGAAGTCAACCTATATTAAGTCAACTTGAGATTGGATGGATGAAAATACAGGTGCCAAGGATGAGGATCGTAGACCACGGTGTCACCTCCCTCCCAACGACCAGGGGGCCGGGTCACGGTTTTAGGATCCCACCGGCCCGACCAGACCCACTTTGCACACTCCCTCTTCTCACCATTGCTGATGAAGACTAGCGTCCCACAGGACCTCCGCCGAGCATGCGGTTTCCAAGCTCGTGTATAATTCTGTATTAGAAACATCCTTCTCAGCGTGTTTCCAAGCCTCCAATTCGAGGTTATCCTCACTACATTTCGATATACCGTCATGCGAGTTCGGTGTCTGAAATTGTGTGTCTCTTACCCACGTCGCTAGATTGGATTCAGTTACTGGAACGTGGGACAGTGATCGCCAAGGTCCTCGATGAGACACCTCGTTTGCTTGCTCTCGTATTACTCCACGCTGTTGTAGTTGTCCTGACACACGTGGATGTTGATTCCACTGATAGGACAACTAGGCAATCATTCCGCACCGCAACGGAATGCGCGCCTCAGGGAAACCAGAAACTCGCCTGCGCAAGAAAAAAATTATGTATATATATATATATATATATATATATATATGTATTCCGCGAAACGCGTTTCCGGAGGGGATGAAGGGATCTCCATTGAGGAACCAGCAACGGGAACGCCGCTGAAGCGCGCGCACACACACACACACAGAGGGTCCGGGAGGATGAGGAGATGACCGACACTGTCACTCTCGCACTGTCGTGACGGCTCGGAGATGTCCCCACATGGTCGAAAATCTGCACCTCGTGAAGAACACTGCAGAGATGGCATACGCCGATGGATCCGGTTCCTAGCGGACGGATGAAACATGCTGGCCGGCATCTCTCTCTCTCTCGCTCGCTCTCTCTCCTGCACCAGGCGCGTGCGCCGCTTGGTCGGCTGAGTCATGTCCTTGCTCTCGCTCTCTCGCTCTCTCTCTATCTAATTGTCTCTCCCCACTTGCGCAGTTGCTATCGACCCAGTTGAGGTACACTAAAGGTGTGTGATCCTGCTGGCGTTTCGCAAGCCTGAATGCACCTTTCCGTTTCTTAAGATGAAGAAAATCTTTCCTTCCTTCCTAGGTTCCCTCCTGCTCACTCACTCTCTCACTCCCTCAGTCCTGGTGCTGATCTCGCACTGGTGTCCACATGCGTGTCATCTGGGACTTCACAGCCCTTTGATGATCCCCAGGCAACAGTTCACTACAAACCCGATTGCACAGACGTAACGTTGCAGAACAGTGTGCTCATCCCGCATGCCGACAGCTTCACGGCAGATCTTCACAGTGGGTCTTTGTATCTAGGGAGGGGAGAAGAACCAAGCAACCAATTTTAAATCTTTTTCTTGGTTGAAATGTGGAGGTTTTCTAAGTTTCAGCCAAATGGAAAACTAAAAAGTTGTGGCCTCTTATCTTGTTCCCAACGTGTAGAGATCCCCTTGGTGATAAATCTTTGAGACGAACAAAGATTATATTAGGTTTGTCAAATTTGTGGAGAAGTTGCTATTGTTAGTATGATAGTGACTTACTTTAACAACTTTAGTGAATGATGGGTTTCTAAGCTAAAAACAATTTGTGGCCTTCATATGTGAAATTTTAAGTTTCTAGGAAAATGGAATTTTGTAAAACTTTTAAAAGTTCTCATTAATAAAAACATGCTGTATAATCTTGTGAAACAATTCTTTTAATATTGCTAGATTCTATGTGTACTAGTAAAATAAAAAAACAAAATGATTTATTAAAAAATATAAAATATATCTAAATTAAACATTTAAAGTTGATATACTTGTTTGGCTTCACAAATTTTATAGCTGAAATACTTATTTTATTTTATT